TATATATATATATATATATATATATATACATAAATGTATAAAAATTCTCAACATGTAGTATGCTGTTTACAGCTATAAATTTGACTCACAATATTTAAACTTTATTAGCACATATTATACCGATTGATATAATAAAGATGGCATGCTTTTGTTACATGATTTATGTGTATAATTTTGTCATCAGTTTTAAAAATCTCATTTTACAAATCCAATAAATAAAAGAATTATTTTATACAAGAATCAGTTTTTTTCTTTGTCAGTTATTATCATAGTATTTCTTTCTCTGTTTAAAAAGAAAGTGTTTGTTTTTTAAGCACAATTTTATGTTATTTCTAGATAATTTTATACCTTCTTTGCATATATATAATTTTATGTTATTTCTAGATAAGAAATTTTAGATTTCCACTTATTCCTCCTCTCTTCTTCCTAAGCACAATTTCAATTGTTTCATGCACGTGCTCTGCTGACTAAAGAATAATCTAGATGCATGGAATTCATTAGTTTTTGTGTTATTACTATAAAAATTTATATTATATTTATTATAAGATACTGTAATCTATCCAAAACCTTTTAGTTGACTATGATACGCGATTTTATTGAAATCTAATCCACTGGAAGCGAGGAAGAACATTCAACTAAGTGGTTGGGTAACGACCCCTTCGAACCAAGGAAGGTGGCTTCAAGTTTCCAATTATACGACAAAACTTGGGTCGCTATTTCGCAATTTGATTCATTCCAGGTTTCATTTCGTAGTATACTTTATTTAAGGGTCGTCATCACCATTGCATTAAGAACACTTATGCAGAAATTTAAAAATTATTTTTTTATTAAAAATCATATAAATTTTTTATAAAAAAGGTATTCTCCTATTTTCCTATATTCTAAGTTTTCTTGATTTTACTAAAATAGTTTTGATTTTTTTATTTTACCTTTTTCATTTCCACATCACGTAAAAAAATTCGCAAAAGAATAATGAATACAATCTTGAATTTTTATTATAGAGAAGAAGAAAGATTCCATTAGTGCAGTAATTAAAAAGCATTATTTCCATGAAAATTTTCTATTTTAATATTTGAACTGCTACCTCTTTCTGAACGACAACCGTGTAAGGTTTTTTTACACGGACTAAGAAAAATGTTAGATGTCACTTATTCTGTTGAATATCTCAACCCCAACTGTACGAAATGGAAGCTGGATGTGTTTTGTTTGAGTGTAAATTAGAATTAAAATAATCAAAATTTGACTACAAATTGCAGTTATAGTAATATTTTAAGACCATGGTTACCAATTTTCTTAGTTTATTAGCATGAAAACATTCATGTATGCCTCATTCTTCCCTGCACGCATTCTCATGGTATATAAAGGTAAAGTGTCTTGCTGCTAGTGTCTTTCGCCAAACTCTCTTCTTTCTCGAGTGTCTCTCTCTCACACACAAACCCACACAGAATCAACAACGATACCTTCAGAGTGTTGTTACATATATAGTGAGAGAGAGAGTTTGATAGGTTGAGAAAGATGGTGAGAACCCCTTACTGTGACAATAATGGACTGAGAAAAGGAACATGGACACCAGAAGAAGATTGGAAGTTGATTTCTTATGTCACTACACATGGCTACAAGAATTGGCGCCAATTGCCTAAGTTTGCTGGTAATACAACTGCATCAGTTATCTACCTTCGGGAATGAATACTAATTTCATGTTAAGTTTTCACATCTGTGTGGGAAGTTTAAACTGATTGTTAATTAAATTTTAAACTGTTGTTTTTGAAACATTTAGATCATATGAGTTGAATCAAGACTTGGTACATAAAAGCTATCTGTTTGCTTCTCTTTTTCTAAATAGATAAACAACTTCATATCACTCTCTTTTTTCGAAAAAAGACATGATCCATGGCGTATTTATCTTAATTTGATTTTTGTTTTAAACTGTGAGGGGAATTTAAAAACTCTACTTTTCTCCAGAATCTCAACATATTCATCTTTAGGCCAGGCACCAAAAAGGGAAAATTGAGTTCATATTCTACTGTTTGGATTCAATATAATTGTGCAGCATGTTTTCAGGTCTTTCTAGGTGTGGAAAGAGCTGCAGATTGAGGTGGATGAATTACTTAAGGCCAGGCATCAAAAGAGGGAACTACACTTACGAAGAAGAAGAGATAATTATCAAACTGCACCAAATTCATGGAAATAGGTATACGCACAGCAAGATTACATGATTGTTACATGAGTTTAATTTCTATTCACCTTTAAACTGATAAAAGGTCATGCTGCATATGACTTTTCAGAGGATTATCATAAATATCAATCGATTATAACTTGTCATATATGATATGTGATGCACTTATAGTATTACTTGGACTTTTGCGCAAGTTACATTATATAATTTCTTTCACTGCATGTGAATATAAACCATAGTGTTTATTTATTTCAACTCCCTAGGTGGTCAGTGATTGCCTCCCACTTACCTGGAAGATCAGATAACGAGATAAAAAATCACTGGCATGCACATCTTAAGAAGCGCTTTCAACACAATTCAGAAACAAATGAAAAAGTTGAAGCTTCCACCTCAAAACAGCACTCCCTAGTAGAATCAATTCAAGAGGAATCTGGTGAAGTTGTTGCAAGCAGTTTCCAGAACAGTTGCCAAGCTACTTCCCAAACTCCTGACAGTGATTCTCAATCGCCCCAGCACACATCATTGAGAGATGCTTTGTGCATGATATCTGAACTTGAACATGAAGCAGCCAGTAACGGGAATTTGGCTACTGATAACTTTGCTGACTTTATGGAGCAAAACACAGATCCTATCAGTGCATATTCTTGGGAAGAACTTTATGAAATTTCATATTTATGTGAATTTCTCGCTCCTTCGTACTGAACCTGAAAGTTTTTGTCCAGTTTATGATGTCTGGGGGGGTTCGGATAGTAACAGGAATATGATATATAACGGTTTGTTTTTTCTTCTTTCTTACTGTTCTTTTGGGGCAAACCATACCAGTTTATTTTGATGAAAGGGGTGTTACATTGTGGGCAGAATGAGTAATTCTATTCCTAAAAAACCATGGTATTTTTTTTGTAAGTTTTATATTTTGATCCTGTTCCAATAAACTCCTTTATTGTTTCCAGAAAACCTGCAATTGAACAATGTAACTCAACATAATGACAAAATATGGAATTTAAATACAACATGATAAGTCCTATTCATGTTGTTTTTCAATCAACTGTAATCACCTAAGTGAAACTTTAAATCTGATTAAAAAATAACAGCATCTAAATTGTATATTTTCCCCTGGAAGTATGTCGTCATCTGCACGTGCTCACAAAAAGGTAAGATATTGGCTTTAACCTCTTATAGTTCAATCGTTCTCACAAGTGTGAAGCAATTCATAATCCTCAATATTTGCTCATCCACAACACCTACTTGACAGCAATATGGCTCAACATGTTGAACAGCATATATATATGTAACAACGAACTCTTATATGATGCATCAACAAGTACTATCGTGGACACATATGAACCAGATCCATCCAGGTAAAAAGTCATAAATAATAGTGTAAATATTATAGTTTAATAGGTTATGTTTTTCATTAATTACTATATCTATTATTTTCTGACATATATCTTCTGTAAACACCACCTATATCCGGTTAGGAGAAGACAAATACACTCAAAAAGGACAAGTATCTTTGAAGTTGGAGCTTTGGAACTTTGGAGCTTTGGAGCTTTGAAGTGCTTGTTGAAATCTTTGCAGTATATATATTTTGCTCTCTAACATATCACATTAACCATCTTTATATTGTAGCTTCTCTTTTTTTTTTTGATGGATTAGCTTCTCTTTTCTTTTATGGATCGAAGCAGTGAGTGATGTCCGCTCATAGTTATTGAAGACGTAGTTGTAGTTGTATTTGTATCTCATGAGAGTGTTTTCTAGAACTGTCCTACAATCTTCAGCCAGCTGATATAATGCATGGGGCACTATTTTTTTTTCTAAAAAATGTGTGAATGTGATATTAATAATTTTTGTATTGAGAAATTAATAAAATTTTAAATAACATAAGAGTAACAAAATTTTTTAATACATAAAAAATGTGTGTATAATTTCGCAATACATATGTTTTCTTAGGATAAACAAAATTCCTTAATTATTTTAATAACATTAAAGCTACAGCTCTTATTATGTAAAAACTATTTCAACATGTACATATATAAATATAAATGTTAAATGTAAGAAAAAGAAAAACTTTTATGAGTAAATTATAATTTACTATATGAACTATATTAATTTTAGTGTTAAATTGAAATAAGTGCATGAAATTTATATATAATAATAATAAATAAATAATTATTTTGAAATTATTTGGTGCTTCACTAAACAATACAAGTTTTATAAAAATACAAGTGGATGTTAACATTATGTAACTAAAGTATTTTTTATTTGCTTAAAATTTGATATATAGGATTGTTAAGCTATTATTTAAATATTTAATAAAATTATTTATGAATTTTAAGTAAATGATTTTAGAAAAAAGTTATTTCTTAACTAACGGGTTAATCTTACACAAACATAAACCTCCGCTGTCACCTTTGCTGTCTTCAACGCGGGTTATAGAAATGATTCGACTTTCAGAATCGACAAGTAAGAAGAAATATTGAAAGTGAAAAAAATTCAATGTTGGTTTTGAATTCTAACGTAGAAATTGGAGATTTCATATTGATCATACTCTTGCCGACATAAAAGGTTAGAATATTCAATATTATTAGCATAATTTATGTGAAATTTCAAATATTTTCAATATCTATTATCTATAATGCCAATAATCAATAGAGAATTATTTTCTAATACCTATTTTTAGGTTATTCCGAGCATGTAAAATCAAAACCACTATTATGCAAACAATAATATAGTTTAAAAATTAAAAACATTCATAAATTAGCATAAACCATAACTATTAGTCATATTGTATATGGAATAAAAAATTGGCTTAATAGCTTTCTTGGTCCTTATGTTAAATGATTTTTTTTTCAGTTTAGTACTCGGTTTTAAAAGTGCATACATTGGGTCCCAAAATTGTCAAAATTGTATAAATCAAGTTTCATCCGTTAAATTGACAGAAACGGAGTTAATTTCCAACTGACCTGGTGAAAGACTCTGCACATCTTCTTCTCTCTGTTTTTCCTACAATATCCCAACTTTTTCTCTCTTTTCTATATGTTTCTTAAATACTTTTTTTTTTCTCTCTCTCCTTCCTCCACAACCTCTACCTCCAGAATTATTAGAAAGGTAGAGAAGAGAAATTGAATGAACGATCAACAACACTCGCACCATTCGATCATTGGAACCCTTAAATATTCACTCACACCGTTTGGTCATTGGCTTACAATATTCTTAACAACACTAATAAAATATTGGAACCCTCAAATATTCACTCACACTGTTCGGTCATTGGCTTACACCATTCGGTCACTCACACTATCCGGTCATTCACACTGTTCGGTCACTGACACCATTCGGTTACTTACACCGTTCGGTCACTGACACCATTCGGTCACTCACACTGTTCAGTCACTAACACCGTTCATTCAATTTCTCTTCTCTACCTTTCTAATAATTCCAGAGGTAGAGGTTGTGGAGGAAGGAGAGAGAGAGAAAAAAAATATTTAATAAAGATATAGAAAAAAGAGAAAAAGTTGGGTCATTACAGGAAAAGCAGAAGAGAGAGAAGAAAATGTGCAGATTCCTTCGCCACGTCAGCTGGGAGTTAGCTCTGTTTCTGTCAACTTAACGAAAGGGACTTGATTCATACAATTTTGACAACTTTGGGACCCAAAGTATACACTTTTAAAACTGGGTACTAAACTGAAAAAAAACCACCTAACATAGGGACCGAGTAAGCTATTAAGCCTAAAAAATTCTATTTAAACATAAAGAAATATATGATTTATCTACTTCTAACTTCTAAGAATTTAGTTGTCTATATACCTTTTAATATTTTTACTTGTTTCGTTGTGAATTATTCCTCTCTCTGACATAAATTAAAATGAATGAAAATAATTTTGTAAAGATAATATGTAAGTTATAAAAGTAATAATATCCTTTAGTTAAATTCTTTACGTTTATATTGAGTTTAGAAATTACTTATCATCGTCATAATTTACTATGAGTTTATGCTTAGACTCTTCAAAATTATTGTTTTTAGGACAAATTAATATAAGGTGTCATTGATGCCTTTATAGTTTAAACCTTTGTTAGAATACTAATTGAAATACTCATACTTGCATTTAATTTTTATTTTAATTTTAATCATTTTAATACGAAATGTGTGGATTGAGGAAATTTAATTTGGTTAAATATTATGTTATTGGTTAAATTTTGATTCTTTGAAAGTTATTATATGATCATTTACCTATTGATTTAGAGGTTCAAAAATAGGTGAATTTATGTTCTATGCGTTCTTTATGTAGGAATAATGTTGAATTTTTATTTCATTATTTCACGTTCTATTATTATACGATTATAATGGTTGAAGGAAGTTTTTAGAATTTGTAGTTTTTCTCTTTCGATTTGGTTGTTCATTTTATAAATTCTCTTATAGTCATTATCTGAAAGTGATTATCATTACTCCAATTATCTAAGATGATTTGGAGGATGAGAAACCATAATAGATTTTAGATTATAATTGTTTTTATTTCTAATGTTTTTCAAATTGAGGAGTTGATGCTTATGACTGAGAATATAAGAAGCATATGGGTAATATTGTCTCTGATTTTCTTTTGCTAAAATTTTTCTCAAAATTCAAACTAGGTAGAGTATGTTGGTTTTCATTTACGGATGTAATATGACAAGTTTCATTTGTTAAGTATGACAAGTTTGATTGTTCTACTTTAGCTACATGTGCTAACATTTTTAGAAGAAGGATAAATATGTGATTAGTTTTAACTTTTATAGAGATGTAAACTTCTATTTATGTTGAGTTTATAAGGATTACTTATGTTTTGGAACACACTTCAAGGGAGAACTTTCAAAGGCTTTGGTTAGAGAGTAATTCTACTTTAGTTTGTTATGATTAAGTAGTTCCTTAAATCCTTATAAGGAGATGGTGTCAATGTTTCCATTTTTGTAAGTATATGCAATTCAAAGTTTTTCATAACTTTTGTTTGGAAATTTATTGTATTGATAAGTTAGCTAATTTGACTTTTATTCATAGAGAACAATATAAGCAGTTTAATGTTTTATCTCATATTTATTTAGGATTTGTTCATAATAGGTATAGTTTGTTATGTTTTGTGAAGAGCAATTTTTTATCATTGTCTTCCATGCTTTACTCATTTATTTTTCACTTTTTTTATTTTGTATGTTTTCCCTTTTATTAATGCATGTTTGACAGTATTGGGTATCTAAAGAATCAATGCTATGTTTAAGACTTTCCATATTGATTTAACACATAAATGATGCAGAAAGTTACATACTACATGTTTTAGACTAATTTATGTAATATGTATGCTTTCTTAAACTTCACTTGTTTTTGACATAATTTATACTTATAAATTCAAAATATTGTACACACAAAATCTAGTGTCAGCGTAGCCTTTGACAAATATTTTTAAGGACACATGACTTTTGCTCAACTAGTTTCAATTTTTTCTCGAATAGAAAATTCTTCTTATTGTACTTGTTTATTGAAATCAAACTAAAAGAAATAAGGTAAGTTCATTCACATTTACCTCCTTTACCCACTCTCCTTCCTTTATCCACACTTAAAGGTTTAATTTGGTAAATGTCCTAAACCACATTCATCAATTTGGTAAATGTCCTAAGGTGGTTGGTCCCACTAACAAACTTAAATTAACTCTTAAAAATAATACTTTGAGTCTCAATCAAAGATCAAGATTAGTCATCCTGGTCCGAAGGCCGAAATGAGTTAATTGGCGAGATGGGTCAACTCGAGCTAAATGTCAATATAGGTCACCTCGGATTGAAGGCGGAGACGAGTCGACTTGGGACAAAGTTGGAGATGGGCTAGCTTGGTGTCTTTAGGTTAGGACGGGATAGCCTGAATCGTAGAACGAGACAAGCCA